GGCATTGGGGAACTGCAGAGTGATCTTAGGAGTTTGACTGCTTGGGCAGTAAAATGGCAGTAAAATTTCCCAGTATATATTATATAAAGTGGTGCAAATGTTGATATAGTGCATGACTGGTAACTTCATGCACCGGATGATAAGCTCTGAGCTGGCTGTGATCCTTGAGGAGTGAGATCTGAGGAGATACCAGTGCTGACTTCATCGGAAACAAGCTCAGAATCATTCCAAAACCCAGTGCAAATGTTAGAAATTGTTAAGAAAGGAAGAGAGAATAAACCAGAAAAGTTTATACAGTGGAATAAGGATTCATGATTAATCCTGCTGTGTGCAGTTGGTGCCTCATTTGAAAGAGGTTGGTTATAACGGAATTGCAGATGGTTTAGAAAAAGGCATCATGGGCAGTATTATGCATAAAATGGCTTTTACATTAGAAACCAGCTGAATAGATTAGGACTCTGTAGCCAGGAAGAACCAATTTATGAGGGAATACTATGAAGAGAAGAGGTGTTGTGAACAAAGTTGTAGATGACATGGAAGTCAGTAGATGGAGACTATTTGCTGGTTCTTCACTCCAAGCCAAGAGCTAGGTGTCATCAAAGCTAGCAGGAGCCAGGTTCAAAACAAAACAAAACAAGAATAGTTATTTGTATAATGGATAGCAGATGTGTGCAGCTCCTGAGGGTGACGTTGCCAATCCAGGAAGTTTACATAGTTTCAGGGGTGACTGGCAAAAACATTGAAAGACAGATCATTGAGAGTTACTAAATAGATAAAATACATCAGCCTAGAGAAGTTCCTTGAGCTGAAAATAATTGATGAAAATACTAGGGGAAGTAGAGGTAGCCTATATATATGCTTGCTTTCCTCTTACTCTCCAGACCTGCATGTGGTCCGTTTTTTCAGAGCAGAGCGGGACTGGGAAGCATGACTGCTAAACATAATCTTCCTTGTTATCATGAAGTATGTACTGAAGTTTTCTGCAGCTGCACTCCCTGAGCTGAAATGAGGAGCTTACTGACCGACCTTGACCAGTGCTCTGAAACATCGGAGCTGTTTTCGGTTTTGTTGGCTCACTTAATAAAAACCGTGCTAGTGGAAGCTGGATTGGAGTAAGATCTTTGAAGGACCAAAGGGTTGTATGAACGTGTCCCTTTAAATGTGAGTTCAAATCATTAATACCCTTTAGCAGATCTTTAGAGCTTCACAAGAGATCTCTAGAACTGCAGCAAATCCTTAGTGTTCAGCAACAATTCCAGATGTGTATTAGACTTGATAAGACAAGACTGGCTTCAGACTTCTTACAGCTAAGCAAGAAATTGTAAGAATATAGAAGAATATTTTAAGAAACAACAGACATTATGGGCAAGAATAAATAAGGAAAAATTTAATATTCTATTCTTACAGTTACTGGATGGAAACACCACCTTCTTGTAGGTTAAATGCTTCCTGATTTCCAAAACTATCTGGGATTTTACTAGGACCCTTGTTCTACAAATGTTTGCCCACGTATTTTTAACAGATGCTGCCTCATGGTTTATTTGCAAAACCATGGACTAGAATTACCCAGATTAGATGAACCAAAGCACAAAATCTTAGCCAGATTGAAAACATTAGCCAAACTTCCATACAACAGTGATTTTAGTTGTTTCTACAGTATATTGATGATGGCAAGAAACAGCCTAAAACTGAAATCTAATCTAAACAAATCCAATTATTTTGTAATATCAAGTCAATATAAATATATTTACAAGTTTCTTATCAGTTATTATGCTTAATTAATGTTAACAGGTCTAAACAAGCCAGGCTGTTTTCTTAAAAATAAATGCTTTTTTTGTCTAAAATTTGCTTTTAGTGTAACTGAAAACAGAGTTCTTCATATTTAAAAAAAAAAAAATCTTAATAGTATAACTGTCATGCTGAAAGAGGTGGTATGAAATTGAAAAGTGCAAATGCACATTCCTAAACAATAAACCACATTCATATTTCTTTTCTATAGAAAGTTCACAGTGGTTTGGGGGAACTAATCCTTCAATATTGCCCATTATGTATGATAAACCATGTTAAAGGATTATTATTTATAGGAATGCTATGAATTTTTTATGTCTACACTTGTAGCTTATTATCATTTTGAAGACTGTAGACCATAACTCTGTACTTTTCATTTTCTATTCAGTATGGGGAGTTAATCCCAGAATGGGGCTTTTTTATGCAAAATCTGAATGCTTGTGTAGTAACAACAGCTGTCCCCTCACCATGTGGTAGCTTCCATTGCTTTACTGTAGAGATGAATTTTGGCCCAGTGTTTCAGTAATATTGGACACACATGGGTTTAGGTGACAAAGCAGTATGTTTATGCATTCGTTTGACTCTCACAGTTACAGTTGGCTACAGATTAGAACAGGGAGAATACATTCACACCGTGACCACCCTCATAGCTGCTTGCAGGAGCTGGATCACAGTAGGCGCTGTTGCATCTAAAGACACAATTAACTGTTGCTGAGGAACTGCAAATTCACAAAAGCTCTTGTGCAGCTTTACTGATTGAGAGTGGAATTTCTAAAAGCTTTTTCAAAGATCTTCCAAATTTATAAGTGCTTTAGATCTTCGCATCCTAAAATTATTATCAGCTTGAGAAAAGATTAGTAAGTTGGTATTTTAATGTAGCTAATGAATTCTTGTGCTGTGAATTAGCTATGTAATTAGCTACAGATCTACAGAATTATTGTATTTTTTTGTGTGTTATTTAGGAAAATAACCTTATGAGTTCTGCAGTGTTTATGAATGGTTAGTAAAGTTGTGAGCACAGGAAAATCAAAGCTTACTGAAAAAATCTGAAAGTAAAACTTAGTAGACAGCTTCCGATGTATATATGTCACTGGAAAGATCATCTTGATTTGTATGTAATTGCTTAGATATGCTTTGGATATGGTAAGAGAATAGCTGTGAATTTACTTGGGGGAGGAAAAAAAAAAAGCTCCCAAACTGAAACCAAAAAAGCCCCAAAAACCAAATAAAAACACACCAACAGAAACCGTCCACAAAGTTTTAGTACAAATTAAATGGAAAATTACAATAAACCGATTGTTAAGGCTAATTTTGAGTTATGGAACTTGACTAATTTTTGAACAAAAGGCTTTTAACTAAAAATGTTTGAAGAATTCATTATTTAAACTACAGTGATGAAAATTTTTTTTTAAGTAGAACATTAAGTACCCCAAATCTTCCCTTCTAAGAATCTGAGAAATATTTTAGTATAAATATAATATACTACATTCAATATATATCTATTATATATAATGAGTAAGTATATGGCACAATACAACAGAAGTGATAAGGTTGTTGTCCCGTGTGGAGAATTTCAGTGTATTGTGGAGATTTTGTATCTATTTACCATTTTTTCTGTAGGTAGGCCAGAGTGTGGATGTGTGATAATGCCTGTAATGTATGTGTATGATCTCTCGCGTGCACACACATTATTTTAGCACCTTGCGTTTGAATCATCATAGATAATTCATTTTATAATTGTATTAAAAACTCTCCGAATATGAATGTCTGAGGATTTCAGCATTGAATAAAGGACTACATGGATCCAAACTAGGACGATTGATGAAATCCTTGCTACTATTGGCTATTATTTACTGTCTTTTAAAGTGGCAGGTTGTATTTATGCCAATTTATCTGCTTCAAGGAACACTCTTGATAGCAGAACAAAGTGAATAAAAGTAGTTTGCTTTGCAAATGAATGCAAATGGTGGAGCCTTTCGGGAAGCCCTTTAACAGGAGCAATGCACTTTGATTATGAGTGAAGCTGCCATTTGGACATGGTGAAAAGAGCACGCTTGAACCATTGATTGGGGGAGACAGTAAAAAGTCAGGAAGGGCCCCGTTAAGCTTGCAGTGCAGCAGGCGGATGTCAGTGTGGTTAGAGCACAGTGGGAGAATGACAGGCAGGATTAGTGTCAGGGAGAAGCTTTGCTGTAGTTGTGGAGATGGTCCCTGGGGTCACTCACCTCTGACTGTTGTTCTGTGCTGATGGCTCTGTAATGCAAACCGCTTGATATGTGCCTGTTCATTATCGGAAACGGTGATTAGAAGAGGTATGTCGTAAAGAATTCCCTACAAGTAAATAAAATGGCAAACTTCTGATGGTAACAGAGATTTGGCTCTGAGGTCCTTGCCAAAGATGCTGCAAACATCAAAGACAGTTACTGCATCTTGCCTTCTGAGGCAGTACGATTTCATCCCTTAAACTGCCGTAATTGTGTGTTCCTTGCTTTGTTCGCTTTATTTGGCCGTTATGAAGACAGCTATTTTTAACAGATTGCCTTATGTAGCTAGAGCAAAACATTTTTATATCTTCTAGCTATTGGGTAGTAGAAGCATCCGGTTTGGTTTTGTGGCATAACTGTAGGGTTTGGGAGGGGTGGGGGGTGGAAGGTGGGGGTAGTGTGTTGTTTAGTAGTCTTAATGGAATATTAGAATCAACAGATTTCATTCCCGAATCATCTCAGAGTGCTAAAACATTGCAGTGACAGCAAGTTAAAACAACTTCTGGTTTTAGAGTTTTTTTTAAAATGTGAAAATGTGCGTATTTTATTTGTCATTGCTGAAAAGTCTTAAACATGCAATTAAATAAATGCCTAAAATTTTATATCTTAAAGTGTGATTTAATCTTTAATAAAGTATTGTTGCTTTTTATCTTTACTGCATTTTATAGCATGACATACAATGTATAAACATTGCTAGAAATGAAATGTGTTGGTGTGTAAAATGAAATACGTTTTTTGAGCATTAAGGATTTTCAATACTGTTGGTCTGTTGCTTTTATGTTTTGGCAACCACACAGGGAGACGGTTTATAATGCCAGATACTGGAACCTATTTTTTTTTTTTAAACATGATTTGATTAATTTGTTTGAAGGCTTTTTTTCAGTATGTTACTTCACAAATATATGTCCAATAGCCCAGCATAATGAATGTTTTACAAATGTTTTACAGGCACCTGAATGGACAGAGGAGGACCTCAGCCAGCTGACAAGAAGTATGGTTAAGTTCCCAGGGGGGACCCCAGGTCGATGGGAAAAGATTGCTCACGAATTGGGTCGATCAGTGGCAGATGTGAGTTCGCTCAGATTTGCATTGTGTAGAGAGTGACAAACCAGAACAAGACAGGCAGTGTAGAAGGCAGACGGATATGGGCCGACATTGTCTTTTGAGGGAGGCTACAATCCTTTTAGGACCTGGAAGTGAACCATTAACTAACTATGCAAGAAGCAGATGCCAGCCAGTCTCTCTCTCCACAATTAACAGCTGTAACTGATCAGCTGGATGGGAGATTCTGGTGCTTACAACTTGAGCTACTGTAACCCAATCACAGAAAAACGAGGTGCTTCGGGTGCTGCAGCAGCCTGTTTTCACTGCAAGCAAATGTTTGTGTGACTTGGTTGAAGATTACATTTCTGGTTCAAGCCAGTCCTTAAAAAATGTAGATGAGCTAATGGTGTTTAGACAGGTGGTTTCCATTAATTAAACTGAAATATCTTTCCAAACTTTAAAACAAGTTTATACGTATGATACTATTTCAGTCCCTTTTTCTGGATTAAAGCATGGTTAATAATGATATTATGTAAAATGATTAATATCCTTGTTAATTCATGTTTTATAGTATTGTACCAGATATCAAAGAAAGCTTATGCTTACAGATTGTAAGTGCTATGATGTTAAAGCCCTGAGGGGCTAGGCTGTAAAAGACTCTTCCTTTTCAAGCAATAGATCACTAGAACATGATGTAGTGTCTGTGGAGGACCGTTTGAAAGCCCTTTTAGCTGACCCTATTTTATAGGCTCTGGAGGGGTTAATGAGAATAATGTTTAAATCTGTTGATGTACATTTTGAGATTAGATGTTCTTTATTATATTTCAGGAATTTCCTTAAATAATGAGAAACAAAGCCTCTGGCTAGAGTGAAATGTAACCCTTTATAGCCTTCTGGGCAATTTGCAGACTTAAGTGTTTTTTTTTTTCCCCCTGTTGATATAATCACAAAAGATTATGGGTTTTGGTGCATGAGGTGCTGGTTTGAAATAGCTTGTATAGCAGAGTTTGGGAATCCCTTGCTTACAGCTAATTTAACATTAGTCAAATCAGGGTTTCAAGTGTGTATTATCTGGCAAATGCACTACATATTAAAAAAAGAAAAACATTCAAGGGTGAATTTGAACTTGTTTTTCCAACATTTTCTGTGACACAGGAAATACTTTTTTTTTTTTTAAAAAAATTGGACCACTTTCTGCTTGTTCCTTCTGTAAATTATCAGGAACAGTAAGGCTTGGTTTTCCTTTCACAGTTAGAGAAGTATAGTATAAGGACCTGACAAGGTATTGTGTACTTATTTCCATGCTATTTTAAGAATTCAACCCCTTTTTAATAGTAGATTAGCTAAATAGATGTTAATAAAACCAGTTCAAAGTAACCCAGTCTCAAAGCTTTCTTCCTAAAGCAAAAAAAAAGCTTAGAAAAATACCACATTACTTTACAAAGAATGTGGGGATTAATGGTAATAATGAGCTAGGTACAAGGCAACAAATAGCAAGTTGTGAAAAAGGCAAGCAACTTACTGACAGTATACAAACAACAGGATGGTAAACCTGCATCTACATCCTGAGTTTGTGTCTAGTTTTCAGTGTTGTACTTAAACACGAGTCAATACAAAGACTCCAGATGAGAATGAAGAGAATAGTAGGTCTCTGAAGTGT